CGGGCGCTGATTGTGTCATATTATACGTATTTTACTTGCACATTGCATGAATAAACATTGCATTTTCCAGTAAAATGTGAGTAAATTCATTCTATAAATCCTACAGAATAAATGCATTGTTAATTAATATCGACTCGTGGCATTTTGGATAACAAGATAAATTGCGTGTACCTGAAATTGATTTCATCAGCCCTAATAATTGCTTTTGCACTTTGAACAATCGTCGACAATTATTATTTTCATTGAATTAGTCGCAGTCAATAAATTGTCGAATACCTACTAGTATTTTCTATTACGCGAATCAAATATTTTGATGCAAACCCTTTTCAAACGTAGCTATTGCTATAATAACTCAAACATTCAAATCTAAATAATCGCAGCATATAAATTTTGAAACTCATTCAGTAAGTCGCATTGCAGCATTTTATATCACGAAATATCTTTCACGTGGAAACATAAAACTACAGCTGGAAGAAAATTAGTTTTCTCTCGTTGGAAATTTTCATTTTCCACTCGCTACATTTAAACATGGAAAAGATAAGCGTTCTTTTACGAAACGAACTTGCTGAATTGTTTAGAGTTTGTATATCGCATTTAGTTAGTAGGAGATTGCTATGAACGGTATGTTAATAAAGCAGCGAATTTTGCGTTTTATAATGCCTTTATGTAAATTATTTATCGTTCATATTTGTTGCAGTCATTAGCATTAGTGAAACGGGGTAGTGTTTGGCAGGTTGATCTTAATCTTTAGTTGCTATGTTAAACTTTTATTTCGTTCCCGTTTATTTTATTTCCACATTTTATTTACTGTTGTGATTTATTAAATTGACTTTTGAAAGTTCATTGTACACAACTCGATTTTTTTAAACCAACTCGGTGTTGTAAATGTTCATGTTCATTTAAGAAATCGCATCCGCCATTTGTCAAGAATATTTTAGCTTGTGTGTTTTTATATAATTTTATTACTGTAATAAAATGGTACTTTATTTTATTAATTAAACACACGTTTTTCCATCTTGTTTTTCCGACCAATGTGACACTTTAACTCTAATTTTAACTATTCGGCAAGTAAAAATAATTTAATTCTCAATCGTTTTATTAATAAAAAAACGGTACCCACATAATTCAGTAAATACCCAAAGACAAGATCGAACAACCCCATTAAGAAATAGGGTGAATTATATTTCAATCCCAGGTTATATATAAGCCAACATCAAAAGCGATAAAAGGAGAACCAACATCGAATCATGTTTTCGTATTAAACAAAGAGGCTCGTATATACGTGTACGGACCGAAATTGAAATAACAATTTATATCCTCGCGTAAAGTAAGCACTAGGGGTGGAAACGATTTACCAGTGAGCTTTGACAGTCAGGGGTGGGTAATCCATTATGTTTATTATGTAATTTTGTTCGTTTCGAATATTCATCATTTGAAATGGACGAACTTGTATTTTGCATTACATTTAATCATCTATTTTATGTGCTGTTTGAAAGGTGTTCTATTGCCTTCACACGGCTAATAAAATGCTTATAATGAATAGGTTTGAATTTTTTTGAAAATACATTTAATTATTAAATAAATGAGAAGGTTATTGACAATGAAAGAATTTTGTTTTGTTTAATAGTGCTTGGTTCACTTTCAATAAAATAAACCCTCTTACTGTAAAAGTGACTGAAATACAGGAAAAAAACTTCAATTTTTACTTCACAAGAACAAAAAATAAAATATAATATAGAATAACAAGAACAAAAAACGCATTTTTCTTTCATTCAAATATTAGAAGTTACATGCCTTTATGCATCATGAAACTGCTGCTGTACATCTTACCCAAAAGAAATCTACTGAAAATATAAAAGGTTACGTACGATGGATATTTTTTATTTTCCTTACTCTGTTTTTTTTTTAATTGCCCCAAACATTTTTTTCTTAATTCTTATTCTCCAAACTGAATATAAAAATACATTCACACAAATCAGCAATTAGAACATCAAGCAAAAACAACAACTGAATATATACATTTACATTCTATTTAGGATCAGATTTGGATCATTGAGACGACACTGAACAAATAACATGTTATCAGACGGTCGGGAGGGAAACATAAAGGACTGGCAGGGAAACTTGCCACCCCCCCAGGTCCCCAGATCCCTATTAATTACTTTATACTGTAAATATGGATTTTAATTTATAGTTTCCGTACAGCAAAGTCAGGAAAACTTGCACAGTTACAAAATGAATGAAACAAATAAGAGCCGGAATAGTTAGAACGATTAAATATAAATTGAATTTAAATTTAACTACCAGCTTCTGTGTAAGGCTCTATTTTATCGACTTTTGACGCATTTATTTTGTTATTTATTTGCGATATGCAATGTGTTATTGTTGCCGATTTTATATCTAGCTGAGTTGTTTATTTATCGCAAAATTGTCTATTGAACTTGTAGGGCGTTAAATTGAAAAGTCAGTTTTGGAGATAAACTTGCTGTATTTGCTCTCGTGAAACTGTCTCGTAATCAATTTATATTCATGTTTGTGAAATAGACTATGTAATACTATGTTTTCGCTTCCGATGCGAATTGAGTTATGAAGGTATGTAAGTAATGGAAACAGAAATTGTTAATGTGTTTATTTCTTCGCAGTATTTGGCATTTGTAAAACTTCACAATAAAAAGCAGAAAACTTACCTTTAAAAAGTTAGCAGGAAGAATGTCAACTTTTAAGGGGCCGTCGAATTTTAAGAGCTTATATCTCGGAAACGGTTAAAAATATCTGAATAATTATAAAACCCATTTCGATAGAGCGTCTGTAGAACTTTCTTTCTTTCCTTCGCGTTTTGAGTTTGAATTATTGTTAAATTGAATTAGATTTCAGCATTCGGAAATTATCTTGTTAAAGGGGACTGTAATTCAGAGAAATGTTTGCAAATTAATATAAAAGCATATGATTGTGTTTGTCTAATTAAATACAAAATGCAAAAAATTATAATTAGAGGACAGAAAGACCAATTTAGTCGATCGCATTATTCTAAAGAAATAAAAATTATTGTAATTATTATTAGAATTAATTAAAAACTACTTTTTTACAGTACTTTTTGTAAATTTATCGTATGACACTCTTGAATATATGTATTTATACTTTTTATTTATTATATGCAGATGGATTCCGATAACAAAATATGGAAAATTTCTTGCAAAATTAATGTTTGCTCTGTTTTGGAAAAGCCAACACTCAAACTCAATATAACATGAAATAGGCATTATAATAAATCAATCTTATAATCAAAGTTTCAATCAAAGTTGCACAAGAAGAATTAAATAAATTTAAATTTAAAGCAACGTTTTGCAAATGAAATGCCCGAATAATTGACAAACCACTGATTTTAGTAAATAAATAAATTAAAATCGATACCAACATTTGTAGGTAATTTTTTTAATCAAATTGAGTTGAAATGAATTAAATATTTAAAATTCTCTCCCGAAGTAAACTTAATCCTATTTTTTTAAGTTAAAATAAGGTTTTGGTAATTTATTTTAACTCTTATTTTCAAAGAAAATACGCCAGGTGCGAAATATTTAAGTTAAAAATGTAAATTTGGCGAATATTTTTAAATCTGATAATGATTTAATCTTTTAATAGAAAAATAACTAAGCATACGGTTTATTATAAACCAGTATGTATATGTGGAAATTGAGTTGGGACTGACTGAAGGCCCAGAAGTTTAGAACGAACTTCCACCGAGAAACAAGAAAAAAAGGTCTACGTAAGCTTAGTTAGACTAAGACATAGTTATAATAAAAAGTTTTTTTTTCTTCGATTTCTCTATGAAAATGCAATCCTTTTTGCATTTAGTTTAAAATTTGCTTTAAATCCTTGATCTGAATCTATCAACGCTTCCAACTTTCTGGCTGGTATTCAGGTCTTTCAGCTCACTTTTTCCTCGACAAAATGTCTGTAAAGGTTTTTTCTAAGCGTTTTCGTGCTATATATTATTAGCCTCTTTTTGTATAACGAATTAGGTTTAGCTAAATCGGTTTTTGCGTATTTCATATTATAATCTAATCAATGGATTTCTAAGGAGTACCATATAAATCAACAAATTTGCCAGTTTGTTGTAATCATACAATCCATAACATTGTCATAAGGTAGAGCGAGTCGCTCAAATATTTAAATCAATTTATCGCTCCGACACTAACGTGCATGTTCTAAGCGTGGAACTTGGAAGTTTAATATCGCACTCAGTCATAATTAACTCTTAAGCAGTAATATCCATTCATAAAATAGTTAGTACCTACCGAGCAAGTTAATTACGAAAATATTTCAGGCAAATTTGATATTGCACAGCCAGATCAGTTATTTGATCAACCGATAATCAAAGTGGTAACCAATATTATTCGGTCATTGTGGTGAATTATGGATTCAGCTCTAACAGCCCTCAAGCTGAATTTTACGCAAATTTCATTATGTTGGATCTAAATTTCCAATTTGGGATGATCTCTAATAGTTGCAATTGTGGAACGTATACCAGATTGTTTGGATTTGTGTATCTGTTACCATGATATGTTAAATATGTAATTGCAATGCAGAAGTCTGCAATAATCGTACAGCTAAGAAATAGTACACGTATTTGCCAATTTATTTAACACAATTTTTTAATTTGCAAGTTAAATATTTGTTGGCAAAATAATCTAGCTGTATAGTTAACATGCATATATTTTTTAGTGTGCGCCACATAACTATTTTCACTTCTTATTATATCCAAGTCCCCCCATGATCGATCCTAAACCAATTTGCGAACATTCAAGTGAAATTTACGTCTTTCAGGATTACGTCCGACTTAATTTTAGTGCGGCATTCGCCAATATATCCATTGCATATTCGAATAATATTCTTCGGTATTCGAATTTCGATGTTTCAATCGCTTGAGACCTATGGACTCTAAAAGACAATAATCTAAGCTAATAATATCCGAATAGTTATTTAATAATTTGTAATTTCAGGATGAGCTTTTGGCCATATCAGAAAAGGTGGTCATTCGAATGGACGATCTAATTACGTGGATCACAGTGGAAACGGAATGGACATGGGGTCGATTAGCAAAATGCGAAGAGGAATTAAAGGAAATAAAGGTGGAACCAGATCAGCTGGCTTCACCTAGAAAACCTGCAGGCAACAACTTCGCCCTTTCCGAAATCACGATGGATTTTTCAGATATAGAACAAGAGAGGCTTAAATATGGTAAGTAATAATAACGATAATTTTAAAATGTATTTCTTATTCATTTTGACTTTATATTTTCGTGTTCTTGTTAGTTTAAACAACTGTTTGCAATTGAGAACAGTCAACATTTGAACCTTCAGTCTTGGTAAAATTGCAAGCAGACAGTAGGTACATTCAAGATGCTACCAGCTTTGTTAAATAATGACGATGTGAAAAGATGGCCTGTACGGTTATTTTATTTAACAAAGATATGTATTGTATAACAAAAATATTTCAAATATATAAAACTGAAATTCAATAACAATAAATAGTTTAAGCGGCGTACGGTATTAACTTAATCTACAATGTATTTTAATATCGAGCTCTTCTGCAGCATACAAAAGCGAAATCCGGATGGCATTGCACACTAAAATATAAAACATTAGCTAAAAATTATTAAAAATTACTTAAGCTGGTTGAGGATATATCGCTCGTCTTCCATACAGAATAATTTATTCTGTATAATCATTCTGCTCGGAGGAAGGAAATTCGAAAACTGTGTGTTTTGGAAAAATATCGTGGACTAAATCAAGCAACGGAAATTATTTTTTTTTATATTTAGTGGTTATTAAAGTACTGTGATCTAACACACCAGTAACATTATTTGTAGGGAATTGGATCAGTACAATAAATTTAAAAATTGTTAATTGCGGTGGCAGATTGGTGCCCAAACTTTTTGCGTCTTCAGTAATAAGGATTAGCACCCATTAGCATAATGCACACATTAGCATTTGTGCTAATGCTTGTATCGTCCGTGCCACTTTCCAAACCAAAATTTATTAAATTGGATCTCTTTTCAATAAAATATTTCCATTTAATAAAAAATCAAAACTTAATCGTTTACTGTACAGTTTAACCACGATTCGATTTTATCAAGTTTTTGTTTACATAACCATTATTTATCTAATGAATAATTCAAATTGCGATTACTTTGCGCAAAACGCGTATTGATATAATATTTGTTGGGAGTTACTGGGAAAAATTACGCTTGTACCAAGCTTATTAGTAAATGGGTCTTAGCTAGATGGAAAAGTCTGAAGACGAAGCTGACTCAAAATTTTTTTGTGGCATTATTGCAGATCTTTATGAGCGATTTTTGGAGAAAATTTTCCCTTGCCGTTCTCCTCAGTAACTGTCCCTGAATCTTGGAAATCTCTTTCCATTTTCAACTCATTTTCCTTCGCCGATTTAGTCCATATTTGCTCAAAAATGTAAACTTAGTAGTTTCTAGTTTATTGCTCTGAATCTAAAATATTTCCTTACTCTGAATTGATGTCAGCACATCTTCGCCAATTCATGCAAACACAATCCTGCTGTGCCGGTTTAGTATTTCCTATGAGGTTATTTTGAGCTTCAGAAATTGTCATACTCGGATATCTTTGTGGACTGCCTTGAACAAACAAGACTGTAATAGTCAGGACAAACATATACATGATCAGTTGCTTAGATTTCATGTTGATTTAATTTGGATGAGCTGATTATCTGGAAAAATAAATATTGAGTTGTATTATTTGGGACTACAAACATTTATTGTATTAATGCTTAAAATATTTGTAAAATACTAAATTTATGCTTTTGATGTGTTAATTTGTAACTGTTGAAATCAATAATATAAGTTTAACAACGTTAAAAAACGTTGAGACATTAACTGACTTTCTATTAAAGGCAAAAAGCTTCAAGCTACTTACAAGTATTATTTCAAATCGCAAACTTTCTCGGCTTTATTTGTAATCAAAACTGAAATGTTTCATGCACTATCTGAAATTTTTGTGACTCGAAATGGAGAAAACTACCACCACTAAGATGAATGACTCCTACAACGTTTGATATACTTACTATAATGAAAGGTGTTAATTCGAAAAACAACAATGTTTCGTGTTGTTTGCCTGGCGATGTTCGAAATAGCAATTCATATGAAATGTAGGTGCTTTTTTACTGGGTGGTGCATTTAAAACTTGACTTTCTTAACTTAGCTTGCTGTTGTTTTACTGGTTATTTATAATTTTGTATTCTTTAGAAATTTGTAGCAACATAATGTTTTTATTTCAAATTTTATTGGCTGTACATTAGAAGAAATTGTGTTAGAAAAAATAATAAAAGTTACATTTGATAAATTTAAATTTGTATTCTGTCAAATGGAGGAAATGTTTTTTGCATGAACTTGTTTAGCCGTTGAGTAATCGGTGTTTAACATAATGATTTATTTTAACTAGAAACTTTACAAGTTTTTTCCGGTACCACCACCAAAATAACGAACGAATTTCGATTCATTCATAATATTTAAAATGTTTAGCGTATTTTCCTGTTTTGGTAAATATATATTTTTGGTTCTTTTCTAAACCTAAGTTATTTGATATAAAAAAATCCAACGTCTGTTGAAGATGATTCTAACGAATCAGTGCTTAATTCATTTTATAGGAAAATATATAAATGMCCACCCGATATATGGAATGTATTTAAAAATGTGACGAGGACAGTTTGTTTTCCGAGTATTGTAAAACAATGTCATAAATATGCCCAATTTTATGGTAATTCACCTGAAGCCATAACCAATTTTGAAACAATCCTTGTAACTTTTTAAAAGTGACTCATATTGCAGGTACGATATAAAAATCAGCTTGTCAATATAGCGAAAAATAATACAAAATATGTCAACTTTTCGTTATAATAAAATAATAAGTTGTATATCATAAACATTCCTTGAAAGTAGGAACCTTGAATCCAAAGTACTGATAATGCTTTCAAGAAAACTGCTATTTCCAGTTATTATGTTTGGTGATTAACGATCTTAGCTTGAAGCCATCAAATATCTAGCAGAATATTTAATGAATTAATCGTTCTGTTTACGTTAGTTATTACTACAAAGTAATGGAAACCATAATAAAACGCCGTTTACAATAAAAATTGGAAAATCCATTACCAGAATGGCCTGGAATTCAAATGAAAATGGAAAATTGCTAGTTATGTACTGTTCTACTACACTACTTATCGAGTTGCTAGAAAGTCACAATTTTAAACTTGATTAAACCATATTTTGAAAAGAAATTACCGAGGAAATAAACAAGTAGTGCATGATAATAATGTTCTGGTTTTATTGTTTATATAAATAATGTTCTGTAAATTACAATTATGTGTAAGCAGAAATAGCAATTTTTAGCAATCGCAAATAGGTATAATAGGTAGGTAGGTAACGACTGAATTATTTTGAATCGGTATCTATGGAATTGATGCGCGAGTAATGAGAAATTAAAAGAAACGAAATAAAGTCGAGATAGGCAAAATGAAAAAGTACTCAACCAATCACTGAAGAAACTAAAGGAACAAATTTATTTATTTTTAGAGAAAAACAGCGGAAGTTGATGAAAATCCATTGAGTAAAAGCCTTTTGGTAAATTCTTATGAGCGTTTGCCTGGCAAAATAATGAAAACCGGCGGAGCGTAAAGCTACTAATAAAACTCTACTTCTACTAATAAAACTCAAAGGACGCACTAATAAAACGATATTCCATACTTAGGTATAAAAAAATTATATCTTAAAATATCACATTACTACTTACCACGCTGAAATTCTACTGGAATATAAACACAAAATCCCTTTAAATATACGGAGTTTTCAAGAATCTTATACCGATAACACTGTTGACTCTTCCTTTTATGAAACTGGGTAACCTTTATAGATTGTTCATATTGTGTTCGTTATCAATATGTAAAGCTTGCGGCGTACCATATCGGCACGATTCACTCACAAATCACTGGTTAAAAATGCTAATTTACCCCCATGAGCCATCAACAATACACACTTTATATACATTCGTCTAGGAATAGTGAAGTTATATTTGGAAATTTGCAATTTGCCTTTTACCGCACTGCATTGTTACTTAACATACAATAAACCATAATTGTTGTTTTAATTGCATGAGCTGAATTAGTCATTAAACAATCGGATTTCAATTCGAAACACTTGAAATCGATGTTGTTTTTCACATTTTCTGTTTTTTTTTCAGAAATTCCACCAAAAGTGGAAAGTCACGTTATAGTTCTGAGCTTTCCAAAATATTGCCGCTACAGGGCTATGATGAAACGTCTCGAGGGTGTTGAGAGACAATATCTCAAGTACAGTGTTGTTAATGCTTTAGGAGGCTTTTATGTAAAACATCCCAATACAAGAGTAAGTTACTCAGAATGTTAGTTATTTCGCATTAATACATTTTTTCACTTAAAAATCGTAATAATATATTTGACTCTCTCTTCTCTTACACATGAATCCTTTTTTCTAGATTCTATTCTGTCGGGATACTTTCGATTATCCAGAATTGGAGGGTCATGAATTGTTATGCAATCATTTAGCACCGAAACTAAAAGGTCGACCCAGAGGCAAACGGAAAAAGCGCAGCATTTCCCCAGGATCAGAAAGTAACGAGTCGGAATCTTCAATTACAAATCAATTTAGCAGAGTGAGTCGATTTTCTCCCAATTCAACTATTGATAATTGTATTGTTCTCATTGAAGCATAACGAACGATCCAACGGTGCTAGTCCGACAAATTCCACGGTAGCCACCCGAAGAAGTACACGATGTCACGAAAATAATGAAAATAAACAATTTATGAAGCTTTTGGCTTCATTTATGAAAGCAAAGCACTTACCATTGGGACGTGTCCCATCCTTAGGATATAAAGAATGTAAGTAGAGTCGCCTATATTGGAATAAATATTTCAGCTTGATTTATTGATTGAAATAGCCAGATCGGGTTTGAAAACAAACATTAAGTAAATAACACATGTTTATTTTCCGATTCCTAAGAGTTATGTCGCTAAAACGATTTTGTGGTAAAGTCATACCTTTTAATTATTTGTACATATAGGAATCGATATAGGAAGAAGAGTGCAAAATCAAGATGATTTAACACTAACGTTAAAATTACTCAATTCAGTTTATAAAGTAGGCCAGTTACGAGCAGTGAATTCATAGTGGCATGGCTCTTAATTGGATTAAATTATTCTTGATGAATCACTTCTTTCAATTAACGACGGTTTTTATGGACCGAAATCATCTTACATGGCAGAACGAGATACTTTATAACGTTCCTGACTTATTTGCGTTATTTCCGTGCAACAGTTCGAAAATGGTCCATCTAGTTACTAGATTTATTGCTACTTATAAATAACTTGCTAATAATGGTGAGCTCAAAATGAAATACATTCTCCAAAGAATCGAAAAAATATTTTTTGTTAGTTCATAGTACAATGTCGCATCTTCTCTGAAAATGCGATGAAAAGTATTCAAGGGAAACGTCGCAATAATCATTGATCTACGACCGATTAGCTCGGAAACAAAAAATAATAAAATTCCACTGTTCATCCGCAGATTTTTTTGGGAATTGCAATTCTAATAAAAACATTTCTTTTCAGTAAATTTGCACGAGTTTTACACACGGGTACAAAAGCTCGGTGGATATGAATGTGTGACCACAAATCGCTTGTGGAAGTCAATATTTGATGACATGACCGGCCATTTAAACAGTACGAGTGCAGCTACAATTATACGAAGGCACTATGAAAGGTAACATAATTGTATAATTTTCAAATCTACTCTATTAATTGGAATGTCTACTATATTATTGTCCAGCAATTTTAATTTCTATTTCAATTACCATTCATTCAATCGGAGAAAGTTCTTGTAGTGTAGTGAGTCACTTATAGGACTTTCATTATTTCAATCAATTAATTCAAACAGACGTAAAGTTTTGTTAATTTTAAAATGAAATTGGAAGCGCCGTCTTACAAGTAATTGTTGTATTTTGCTGCAGATTTCTATTAGCTTACGAGCGACACGAAAAAGGAGAAGAAGATAAACCGCTTCCAACATTGGAGAGACGGAGACTGAAGAGCAGACAGAGCGGTACCGGTTCGAGTGACTCAGAATCAGGACCCGATACACCCTCTACTTCCAGATCGAGTACCAGTCCTCCAGTTGGAACCGAAAATAAAGTTTGTGCTTTTTATATTGAAAACATTACTACAAAACACATGTATAAACTGATGTTAGTTAAAACTACATAATAACAAGTCAATCGTATTTATGCATCATTTTTTAGTTTGTCATAGTTTTTGCACAATTTTTTATAACCGGAACTATAACGTGCAAACACGTACGTGTACACATTGTTAATCTGCTGAATAATATCTTTATTTTCCACAATGAGTCCTATCGAGTGTATTCTTATCTGCAACACCCAGTATATTTATATTAAATATTATAATTTTATACTCTCAGTTATTCTTTATATTGGTTGTGAATAAAGGAATTATTAATATTCACCGCAGCAATATAGGGCCTATTTATAAAAAAAATAATTTAACTTTCCAATTTTGAACAAATTTTACAAATAATTTAATTCAGTGAGCACTAAATGTTATTTTGAAAAGTGGCTTTTAATATCAAACAGTAATTTTATAATTTTTTTATTGCTGTGCGGCAAAAAATTGTCGATCCTCCTTTGAAAAACTTAAGCAAATCTTGAAGATTTTTTTCTCATATCTGAGGGACTTTGAATTGCTTCGATTTTTGAGAGCTACTTTACTTTAAAGGAAACTTCATCGTATGTTTTTTAAACAAATAGAAACTATACTATACGCTTATCCCCTTTATGCCATCTGTAGATATCAACGTTTCCTGAATCTCATCTTTCTTCCTATTGATCTTTGACTAAAACTTATCGGTCAGATTCGTAATCTTACGAAAATATTGCCTCGTACCAATGAGCCGGTTTTTTCTGCTAAATTTTTATATAACTTCGCGATATTTATCAGAACCATATCTTACAACCTCTATTCGTAGTACTTTCTCTATTCATTCCTTTAGCATAGAGAAAAAGCGTCAGCGCATTTATAACATCAGAAAGTTTCTGATAGATAATATTTCTGATTTTTTTTCTGATGATAAACGTAAACATTTCGATTGGTGCATGCTTAAAAATGTGCAATACAGTCAAAGTGTTTTTGATTGGTTTTATGACCCGCGTCGATGAGGTAATTAACAGTCAACTGTTATTGTTCGACGCTGTTAAGTATAGTTAAAACTAAATTTAATTAAGTGGCGATCAGAAAAGAGGGTAGCTGAAAAAATCAGCTTTTCTATGCCTCGCACGTATGCGTCGCCAACACATCGTATTGAAACCACGCCGAAAAAATAAAAGCAAAATATCAAAATATGATTTTTATATAAGCACAATAAGACTGGAACACTACTAATTACTAACATTTAGCTATTTTGCCAATATCTGTTATTAACCAAACGATTTTTTCTTTCAGGAAATCACTTCTGCAGGAAAACCATCGTCCCTGCGAAGCGTGCGTGTCAAGGTTGAACGGCAAAAGGAAAAAAATGGTGACAAAACGAACGCAAAGTTTCAAACGGCATCGGAATTAGTTAATTCGGATCCAACAGCGAGCGATCCGTGTATTGTAAAGGCGGAATCATACGATTCAAAACCCATTATTGAAGATTCTGAAATGGAAAAGAGTGTATATATCGAGGAAGAGTTAGATGTTAAAGTGGAAGTGAAAATGGAAACAGACGTCGTTCTTCACGAAGCTGTAAATGTGAAAGATGAAGAGAAACCGAAGAGTGAGCCGTACGAGATCAATCCTTCAATACCTGAAGGGTCTAAATCTGAAGGGTCCATTCCAGCTGAACCGACAACGAATGCTGTTGCCCCGATTGCTACCACCGTAGTACCTGAACACAACCTGTCTCCATTGGAAGGAAAAGAAAATATTCCTGTTGTTAAAACTGCTGATGTTGCCACAGTTGACGTCTCCCCAAAAAGCATTCCTTGCAGTGCAAGTTTTCCTGAAACCGTAAAGGCCGAAGTCAGCGAGTACAAAAGTGAAGACGACTCTACAATGCGGGACGTGAAAAAAATCAAGTTGGAGATATTGAAGGACGGAGGCCTGGAAGTTACCCCGGTCAGATCAGGATCAATTGCAAACAACATCAAAGAATTTCGACCTTCGGTAATTCAACCACCGACTAATAATTTCGCAAAGCCAATTATGGCTCCTCCATCATCAGTAAGTTCAGTTTTACCGAAGAGGAGCTTTGCGTTGTCTTTGCCGTCGAGTACCAACGTTACACACCTCAAAAGCCCTTGTACGCCAGCAAAACAGGCTAAATCTGAACCTTACCAGTTCTTAAACGGCACCACGCCACCAAAAGTTGTTCAATCCAAGTCAATATATTCGTATTCGGAGAAGACTGTCTACGGAAACCCGAAAGATGTTTTACATCCGACCATGCTATCACACACTCCAAAATCGATAATTCCTAATGTAAGGCTGGGTGGCACTGATCCAGTCGATTTATCGCTAACAAGCCCTCAAAAAGCGCATGTTGAACTAATCCCTGCGGTCCAAACGTTAGGGATGCGAGCCCGCTCGCCAGGTCCCGCCTACAATAGAGCCAGTGTTACGAAGAATTTATATAAAACAAGTCCACCTTTATTAGGTGGTCGAAAGTTGGGACCTAACTTAGAAATAACTTTAGTTGGACCAAAGCAGCAGGCTTTTCAGGCCGTACCGAAACAGTCGACTTCACATAAACGACCCGGGTCCGAAACGTACGCTCAAAAAATCGCTAAACTAAAATCAGAAGAACTGAGCAGTAGACATTCTAAATACAACATTCCACATATGCATAAAAGTAGTGTGGATATTCCAGTTCCTAGTCCTTATGGTAAAAATAATGTTAGTGTGAATGCGGCCAAACTCGACTTTAGGCAGTCGGGGCAGAAAAACGTGGGTCTTGCGATGCCTCAAGCCATGCCACCGTATATCACATCCAGATATCCCGTGCCGGACAATTCGAATGGAATCAATCCATATCTACCAATTATGGACTCGTTGTATTATCAGGCAGCTTTACAAAATGTGTACTCAAACTTTAATATGCCGCCCTTATTGCCGATTGCTTCTCCAGATCAATTGAAATTCTATGCCGATCTGATGGCACACGGACGACTAAACATGCCGTTCCCTCATCCTGCAGATGGACATCCGTCCATGAGTAATAACAATAATAATAACAGTAATAGTAGGAAACCATGAACTGATTACTACATATCAAAATGTGCAAGCACTGGTCTTTGATTTGGATGGTCGGTAAGCGAGAGTGTTCCTATTACATGCAATATTTTACGAAATAAAACTAACAGGCAAAATTATTTCACACTCTACTGCTCGCTAGTATGCTAATTTTATTAATAAATTTTATTACCTATAAATATTTATTTTCCTTTTTCGAAGTATTTTGTATTTAGATAAAATGTGTTCCGTGCATGACGCGGTGAGACAAAAATTACCGATTTTACCCTGTTTATGCAGTTTATGTTAAGAGTTCAAATGTGGTCAAACTCAGTTGAAATAATTATTTCTATTGCACATTCAATTATTTTTGGCAACACCTTTAAGTCAACATAAACTTTGTTTCAGTAGAAATTATTTGTTAAAATTGTCCAGTTAATCATGGATGACTGAATGATAAAAAATGTGAAAATTCTTTGAACTTAAAAATTGTCCACGCCGCAATTTCACTCAAATACTGATTAATTTTTATTATTTATTTTGAAATCAGAATTCTACTTGCAAACGTGGATGGTCCATTTCACTTGAGAAAGCTTTGCATCTTAAAAGTGGAAATTGGTGTTAGGGAAAAAATTAATTGAAGTTAGATGTCTTCAACATAAAATGTTGTGTATTTTCATTATAAATGCAATTATTGATAACTTATTAACATTTAGTAATGTTTTGATCAGCTTTTTTTATAAATCGTCAGAAGTTATAAACACGGGCCTGTATTTTAAGCGGTGGTACAGCGATAGAATAAGTGTACGATATGTTTGAAATTTACATGGAAATCTGAAAAAACGTAATTTTTTGTAATTTCGTGGCATTTAACCATTTGACAAACAATAAAACAAAATAAAAAAAAATTAATAGAAAATTGCAAGTACTTCAACTAATAATCAAGAAGAATGCCTATACATCTAAAGAACCAGTGGTGATAGTCGGTGTTCACAATTTTATGGATTGTATACTAAAAAATTAAAATTTAAGTAAATTGAAAATAAATTAGAATGAAAATTAACTAAAACTTGACAATAATCAAATAGGATCGTATATAGAAGAGAAAGTTAGTTGATCGTTTCTGAAAAACGACACTTCTAAGCAAAAAACTGATAATGTAGCCTTCGCATGAATCAAAATTGTTATTAGAAAATGTAACCGGTTTGGGTCCAGCTTTGATATTAACATCAATATTTATAATTGAAATTCGACAATTTCGCGTTTAAAGTGCAATTTTGCAGTTTTTTAATTGCCCAACTTGTTTCCTTTTTGGCCAATTTTCAATATAATCCCCATACTTCTCATCTTGGACATAGAGAATAAAGCTTTCTCAAATTAAATGGACCACTCGGTATATATTATGATTTTTTTCCGCATAAAGCACTTAATAAAAATAGCAACTTGTTTGGCATACTAGAAGAGTACTGTGTGACTACATTTAATAAGTAAGGTGACCATACCTGATATTGACATAATAAAATTATTTTTCCATCTTTGTGGCTTAACTTAAAACCCAACATGTTTGCATTTTGAACAATTTAACTCGGTTTTAATCTCTAATTTAATTTTAATTTAATGAATTTTTATCTAAAATACACGTTTAAACGAATGAGGTAATAAAAATATCTAGTTATATTCAAAAAGTCTTAATTAAATTACGTGAGGGTACAATTAGGGACCATATTGTTTACTCCCGACTATTAACGCTTGTTAATAAGTTGTTTGTGTAAAAATGTAAAGTTTTACTAAAGGCAACAACAGTAAGATATGTTAGTTTGCTCGCTCATCATAAAAAAAGTCTGAACCTTCGTCCTTCTGGGAATTTTTACCTAGTCGGAAAGTTAGCTGATTGGGAAAGGCCTAGATAAATAAAATACATCGAACTAATCATATTTAAACTTTTCTCGTTTTCAATGTCAATACTGGTATGTTGATCTCGCTAGTAATCACATGCGTCTAAATCTAGCTAATCACTTATCTGTATCTTTTAAACACCTTTGAAGGATTCCCTATCCCCCAAATGTTCAATTCATCAATTTAAAGCTTTATATATTTTACCCCCTAAGAAGACACGAGAAAAATGTTTATTTTCTTAAAATTATTAAACCTTAGGTTGTAAGGACTGTCTTCGCCTTAATGTAAAAAAATATGTAAACGCGTCCTCACGAAGAGAGGTGGGTTTTTGAGAACTAGACTGAGTAGTTCAATTATGACATTCTGTTAGTGACGAATTTGTAGCGGCGCTACAACTATAATGTGAAATGGAGTGATTATAATTTTAACAGACCTGATTTGTTCATGTAATACCAATAGTTGACTAACAGTGTTTATTATCATCGTTATGCTTCAAGGCAAATATTTTAAAAACATCAAAACTAGATAAAGAGAACACTCATCAAAGCATTTGAAATATAAATTAAGTTCTATGATTTGTGTAGTAATAGCAAAAGGCAAACCACGAAAAAAATAAAAAATAGCCAGATAGTCATAAATACGACTTTCCTTTTCGGAAAAAGCACCGTCAATGGTGAAAGTTTTTCAGTAGATCTAGTTTATGACAATCTGGGTAGAATACAGTACAAGGTTATTAATTATATTTTCAATACACGTGTTAGTTTTTATTCAAAACCTTAGAGTTTAATTGAGAAGTATCCAGTTTTTATTTCATATTTTTATAGGTAAGTGCATACTTAATTGCCTTGTACTACTTACTAACAATGATTCAATCAAAGCAATTATAGTCAACTAAAATGAGGGAGTAACGTTTCAAGAATAGAAACGTTGATGTATGACAATATAAAAAAATGTATATTTAACTATTTAAATACGTAAAATCGAATAAAATAGGTAACGTTTCGGTAATATGTATTAAGATAAGAGAATTAAATTTTATTAAGTTTTGTGAAAAATTATTAGGTATATTACTTTCGTAGTTTATACGGTATAGTAGTTAAAATATTTTACATTTCGTTAATAACATTATTGTCTTTAAATTTTTATGTAATATACTGTTGGATTTATTTAAAAGAAGCATTACGCATTTCATTTATTTTATTCTATATTAATATATGTTTTTTTTTCGTTTTGAGGTATTTACATATTCGTTACGCAGATATCTGTTTTATTTTTTAGTTTACTAGAAGTGTTGAGAAGCACATGCAAATTTATCACGTTTGAAGCCAATGTGGTTTTTCTAGAGTAACGAAAGGTAGAGATATCTTTGTTGTTTTCATGTGTTTAACCCACTTTACAATACCTGTATATACAAAGGCCAGATAAAATTTAGTGTCTGTGATTTATATAATGTACGATAATGAATATATACATAATACATAATGTACCAAATTATTTTGTACAGATTCACTATTTTCTCGAGTTAGCCACCTTATGTTTTTATATTAATACGAACTGTAGCAATGTGTACATAATGTTTACTTTTATAATTATGAATATGTAAGTGTTATTGTATGGTTAATCTATTTGCCATTAAATACATAATTAAAATTAACTGTTTTTTTATTTTGATTGTCTTTCAACATCAACAATTAAGCTTAGAAATGAGAGACAGCAGACAGAAAAAAAATGTTGACAGATTTTTTAGGATATGTTTACAGACAATACTGCAGCAAAGTATGATTTCTTGTATATTTGTGTTTTTCAATATTTTTAAACTAAATCGGAAAAAACAAAGAAAATGGAAAATCCTTACTAGAAGTCTAACCCGCTAGCTTACAACGTTAAAAAGAATATTTACATTATTACATTTACTATAATATATATAATTTATGTAAGATTTTACAAAGTGCACAAAATTGTGAATACATGATTAGTGCATCAACCGAAAAAAAATGAGTTGATTTCATCGTCCAACTGAAAAGTTCTGGTAGTTTTTGTACCACTACACCCAAAAATCACCACTTGTCCAAAACGGCTGAACCCGATTGCTTTATCAAAATATGAGTCTTACATAAGAACAAATTCACAACGAATTTCACCAAAATACATCGTGCCATTCTCCCGATATTTAAAAAAAAAAAATTTTTTTTGAACAACTTTGACCAGCAGTTAGGTCAGATCGTCTTCTTTTGATCCAAAGAATATCGCGTTACCCTTTTAATCATGTGCTTACGGGACACCCTGTATAATACTCACCATAATTATACAACTGTTAATAATAATGGATGATTTTCTTTTGGAAAATAGTTATCTTGTGAGAAGACGATTACAGTTCAAAGGAAAAAAACTATTGGGTTGCTGATACTGATTAGAAAAACGAAAATAATTTGGAGAATTCCATCATTACTGATATGAAGGTTGAAAAAAGAATCAGACAGACCTATTGGATTTTCAACATCAGCAATCATTTCAACATAGTGGACGAGCTCCAGTACGTTGCAATAAAATTGGATCATTCGCACCTTTTCGCACTATTTCTGACGCAAGCAGGTCGGACGAAAACTACTTGCCTTGACCAAAACTACCATACATTTTTATTCATTTTAAGTGGAGATTTCAATGTTGATTCTTCTTCTGATACCGCGCAAAATTTAATGCCATTTCTTAAATCAAAGTTACAATTAAAGATGATAAATAAAGCAGGACACGCTACAATCGAGCAAGATAAAATCGAGTGTCACAATTCGTTTCTTATTACAGTGATCATAAACCAATTGTCACCTTTGTAGGATTAGATAATGATATCGTAAATACAGTCATTGAAACTATTGTAGAATGTTAAATGCTGTAAATATAATATAAATTTTACATTCCAAAGGAAATTAATCTACACTTTACCTATGCCTGGTACATTTAAATTTATTGGACTTTAACTTTAACAAGAATATTGAAATTAAAAATTAGTATTGCGATCACACGTTAAATAAGTTCAAGATTTGATGGTTTCTATTAATAATATGAAATTATCACTTCTGTAGAGCGCCTCGTGACGAACACCATTTTTGAATAGTTTTCACCACCAATTCGTGAGCAACCAGACATTTTTCTTTAATATAAGTGCTTATGGGACACATGCAATAAACGCGCAATTTCCTAATAAAAATTAGTTCGCATAGTTCATGTTTCAATTGGAATGTGCTTGCATTTTCAAGTCGACTTTACAGCCGACGCAGAGCTCTAAGTAACCCTTTAAATATAAAACTTTAGTTAGTTAGTTTTATATTCAAAGAAGTAACCAATCTCCCCCGTCACCTTCTCCAATGTCAGAGAATGAGAATCAGAAAATTCTCCCACAAGTCTCTTTCTATCGAGACGTTCATAGGAACAGATTTTTCGTTTTGGGACGTTCATGGAAACACGAGTTTCGATTGGTCTCCTCTCCTAATTTTTGGTGAATTTGATTGTTTTTCGGTTAGCTGTAGTGCAGCATGGAGAATGCGGTAGAATCACCCAGAAGGGGCTGGCATGCGCTGTGCAATTCAATTGGAGGCACCAAATGATCTGAACAAAATATACGGCACAAATTGCCGCGCGATTTTTTATTCTCCATCTGCACATTCGTTTCATTGTTGTTCAGACATTGATCTAGCTGGGTTATCTATGTTTTTGCTGTGTAAAACCGCGAGTGTTGCTGAACATTTTCGTTATTTGTTTGCGAACATTTGACGGTAAACATTGATCGAGCCCCACAGTTTCTCCGACTATTTTAATATTGCGACGGCGGATAGTTGTGAATGACAAAATGCTGTTAACGTAATTTGGCGACTTGGCACTAATGCTTAATATCCTGTGTTAGATCGCAAAATATCTCAGATTCAAGCAGGTAAATATTTGGATTTACTTTATGGGCTGCCTGATTTTAACCAACCGGCTTACTGTTATTGACATTGAAGAAATTAATTTTGATGTGTTTGAGAAAAAATCCTATAAATTGCGCAAATTCGCGCGGTTGGTGCAGATTGATCAGTTCTAATAGTTTAAAGGGATTTCCAATTTCAATTCAATCAAGTTCGTCATACGGTACTATTCATTATCAACAAGCGTGACTAATGATTTATTTGAAATATTCCTATACTATGACGATTAATTCCTATACACCCCCATACCGGGTGTTTAATTGGCTCGTTCAGCATAGAGCAATCTTGTTTAGCAAATTTGTTGAACAGTGCTAATTTGATGAAACTACTGTAGTAAGAAGATATCACCAATGATACATCATCTCGATTTATATACAGATTGTTTGAATTTTTAACCGGAAAACATGTCCACAAACGCTTCGTTTCGTCACAAAACACAGGCTCTTGACATTAAAAAATACTTTCTTTTCCGTTCAGCTCTGGCAGTTTTTGAGATACAGTAAAGTCCGCTTATAATGAACCCAGTTATAGTGAACTATCGGTTAAAACGAACTTTTTTCCTTTAATTGAAACGTCATCCATAAACACCAACGTATTTTTTTACTGGTTATAACGAACTTCCGGATATAACGATCACTTTTTAGGATAGTTGTATATTCACTTTCCGTTTATAACGAACTTCCACGCTCAGCAACACGAATCATGCGGAGTTGTTTATATTATTGAGAGCGAGAAACAGGCAGTGAACTTGTCTTTTGCCGCGTTATGTATGTGAATCGTTTTAGAATGGGAAAACAAAAACGCAAAGCTTTTTCATTAAATAAAAAGTACGAGATTAACAAAATAAAAAGTGAAGTAGAGCAGAGTGACATTTGTAAGGAATTAGCACTTGGAAAGTCTACTGTTGCAACAATATGGAAAAACAGGGAAAACATTTTATCAGCGTATGACAAAACAAATGTTAGATGTAAGAAGTTAAAATTATCTGCACGTGAAGAGGTTGACAAGGGACTTATTAAGTGGTTTACTCAAAAAAGACAAGCAAACGTTCCCATAAGTGGCAGTGTTTTGCAAGAAACGGCTAGTGAAATGGGGAGTAAAATAAAAAACAAAGAGTTTGTTTGTTCTAGAAGTTGGGTAGAGCGTTTCAAGAAGAGGCATAATATCAGTAGCGGAAAAATTATTGGAGAGTGTGGTGCCGGTGTGAACATGAATGTGGTCAATGATTGGTTGCATAATGTATGGCTCACCATCCGAGACAGTTATGAGTACAAAGATATTTTTAATGCTGACGAAATGGACCTACTTTATAAACTAACGCCCGACACAACACTAAAATTTCTGGTGAGAAATGTGCTGGGGGCAAGTTATTTAAAGTACGCCTTACAGTTTTGGTGGCGGCAAACATGTCGAGAACAGAAAATAGAAAGTTATTGGTGATAGGAAAGTCAGCTCATCCTAGATGTTTCAAAAACAAGAGTCCACAGATGAAAATGTGCCCAATGTTGTCGAAGAACAAGTTAAAACCAATTTGAGTGATTTCAATTTCTTCGAATATGTGAGAATTGATAATGGCATTCTTACAAGAGAAATGTTGACCGATGAGCAAATTATAGACTCCGTAACCTTATCTACAGCTTTAAGCGATAATGAGAAATATGACGATTTAGGTGAAACTGACTCTACTGTAGACACTAATGCTGTTCCAACCATTTCTGAAATGACAAAAAAAGTGTCAGAAACTCGGAATTTTCTACAATCCCGCCAAGTTCCTAATCACATCTGGGAGTCATTTTGTGATCTTGAAAACTACATAAATAACATCTATTTTTGCAGCAGAAATGTACAAACAAAAATTACAGACTTTATGAAGTAGATTTCAAATTTAATTTTTTTTGTTCTTTTTAGTCATACCTACAAACTTCTACTACTCTATGTAAAAATAACGAAATAAAATACACCAGGTGTTTTTGTATTATTATTCGCTTATAGCGAACTCCGGATATAACGAACCAGTTTCAGTTCATTTTTCAAGGTCGTTATATCCGGACTCAACTGTATTTACCTTTACTTAGAACTATTAGAAATTTGGAATCGGGCAATGAGATTAATGACATCTTGATTAAGAGTGTTTCTTATCTTATTTACTTATCCATTAATTTTTTTACAACTAACTCGTAAACGGTGGCAGATTCGAAGGAAATATAAGAGACAAGACAAGACAAACAGTGCATTTAATCAAAATAACGTTAAATTTCGGTGGTTCACCAAAAAATAGTTCGGGGAGCAGAATTCCTCAATAACAACATGAGTTAGAACGAAAAAACAAAACATGCTGGGTTTCCCCGTAAGCACATAATCAAAATTCTTCCAAAATTTACAGTTTCATTAAAATCCATCGTACCATTCTCCTGATATTTCAAAAAACATAATTTCTTTGAAGAAGTGACGATCAATAGCAGAGGAGCTAGACATTGTTTCTGGATAAAAGTTAGGCCAGATCGTTTTCTCTTCATCCAAAGAATATCGCAATACCATTTTGATCCCTGATGCTTACGGGACAGCCTGTATATTATAATTTCAACACCCTCTAGCTCGGAAACGAAACGTTTGTGGACGCATGTCCAGGTAAAATTTTCTACTTAATGTTTAACGTTATTTCTATCACTTGGTTCTCAGCTAAAAACCTAATCATCCTGTACCAAGCATATATAGGGTGTTCCAAAAAGTATGTTCAAAATTCTACTCGATCTGACTCTAGTCCAAAAGTTGGAGTTTATGAAAATACAAATGGTTACAAGATATGATTTTGTAATAGTTATTGGGCCCTGCCTTGGGAGGTAACGACAACATTTTAACAAGACCTCGTATTGGGGTATTTTCTGGGGCAACAAATAGTCTGCTTTCACTTGTTAAGTACGATTCAAAAAATTTCGTCAGCGCCATGTAAACTTTCATTCAAAGAACACAATTTTCTTATCTGGCGATATTTCTTCTCAACCTTACAATCCCCCCGCACATTTTGACATTGTGTGACAAAAGATATGTAGAAGTCCACACAAACCACCCTTAATAATATATTTCACGTTAAATGAAAATATCAATATTCACAATAATTATTGACTAGAATAATAAAATAATGCGCTTACACAGTTTACAATGCGTCTGCATAAATATTCTTCAGTGTTTTAAACGGGGCTATAAACGATCCTTTTGGAAAAGGGATTATCCATAAAAAGTAATCCAGAGGGGTAAAATCTTGAAAATAAAACGATGAATGGCAGGAACATAATTTTTTGTAACAATGCACCTGTATCTAAAACGATGGTTTAGGTCATTTCGAAGGTCCAATGAAAAATGCGAGGGTTCTCCGTCATGCGTGAACTACACTTTTTCTCGAAACATTAAAATATTTCCATAATGTATGTTTAAGTTACTTCGAGTAAACCGAACTGATCAAAATCCTCATTTCTTGCCTCATTTTGTCAAACTCTTTTACCAATTGCACGTATTTGCTACATGTCCAAGTACAATTTTGAAACATGTCCAAAGTACAATCCAAATAATCAAAACCGCTCGTTAAATGGAGATGGGCCAGAATGTCATCCATAGGATGTTATATTTTTCAAAAGAAACTTTAAAATGGTATCCTTTTAGACTACAAGATTGAGAGAGGGTGTTAAAACAATTAGCGTAGCTACGATAACTTTTTGCCTGACCCCGTATACTGGTTTTGAAAACTGCAGATTATTTAACATTCATTATCAAGATAATTTTACATAAAACCTTTTCTGTATCTCTTTTAACTAAGAAAATGTAGCATATTAAAACTGGCGTTTTTTATTTTCCGCCGGAGGGCAAAAATCGAAAATTATCAACTTTCAAATTTTGATTTTACCATTTTAAGCTGGATCCAAAAGAGCACACAACATATTTATTACTTTTTTTATGGCAATAATTACGGACATACTCCCTAAAGTGTAGAAAATGGGACACTTTTTACATGCGCTGTTGATAAAAGATCGCTCGCCACAAATGATACGCGATTCATATGGCAATAAACGTGTTAAATTCGTTTAGTAGAAAGTATTACTTTAAATTTAAAGAAGTTGCTTTGAACTCAAAGAACTCGCAAAGCTCCAGGGTTCAAAAGCACTGGTATAAAAGCGATGAACGAGGTAAGTTAGAAAAATCACACTTACCATGATGTGTGGACTTTTCAGGTAGGCGAATGATCCTTAACTGTAGGTGCAAAATCCTCAAATGGATCTAGAGGATTCCAGTACGTCCTTAATCTCACACGCACCCACTCAAAATATGCACTTTAGCGTAGGAAATGTTCAGTCTTGGTCGCTGCTGTCAGTAAACGTCAGAAATTCCGCACACACAAAAATGTATTTTACTTTCGACAATCGCACTACCGATCAAAAAATATCACAAAACCGTAGAACAAAAGTTTCCAGTTTGGAAAGTAACTAATTTCGGGCAGAAAAATGTTAAAATTCTCAAAATTTTCGAAATGTTAACGTAATAAATTTCGCACAATTGCTCCTACCTGTTATTAAACAGTAGACTGTCGACAAAATGACATAGGAATTGACATGTTTTTGAAGGCTACAACTAGATTATATTTAATCTAGAAACGAAGTACCGAAAAAACAGAAAACGATTATTTTTGCGTCACAGTAATTAAGTGCGTCTATAAAATTCACATATAGGTATAGTAAATCACAGCTAATAACTTCCAAATCCCCTTCCAACCACTGTGTCAATGTGTAAAAGTATTTACACATTATTCTTATTCTCCAACAAAACGGGAAATTTGATAACCTCTTGAAAAATGGTATAAGTATTGATTTTGAGCAATGATATAAAAGTGATCGATTCACCATTAAGAAAAATTGTTAGTAAATGGATTATCTGTAAGTTTCGTATATTTTTAACTTCGAACGTGGGAAACGTACAA